CAGGACCCCGGGATCATGACCTGAGCCGAAGGCAGATGCTTAATGACTGAGCCACCCAGGCACCCCTGACTATACAAATATTTAATATTACAGTGATTTCTTTTTCAGGTACCACTGACCACAAAACAAACTCAGAACTTCCAAAAGCAAATGACTAAAGTGCCCCCGAATGTAAAGGAAAATCGATTAATAAGTAGTCACTGGCCTCTTCGCATCTTTGCTACACTTTATGAATTCCTACAACTTTATGTATTTCCCTTTCTGACATAAGGACGTCCAGCAGACTCCTAGGGGCCACATATCTCACCTAAGGTTATACAATTAGCAGCAAAGAAGAAAGAAATGATCAACTCAATTCTTCTAACTAGTGTAGTTTTCCTCACAAACTCACAGATGATTTAGCAAAGCTTCTTAAGAAAGAAGTGAAAAGCACTGTACACTCAGGTCCGCAGCAGCATTAGTCACAGCAGTCAGAACATGGGATCAACAGATCAACGGAGGAACAAAATGCGGTATATAAATATATACACACACACACAAGGGAATTCGTAGTCAGCCTTGCAAAGGAAGGAAATTCCAACACATGCTACAACATGGATGAACTCCGAGAACATTATGCTAATAATAAAATAGAAAATAAGCCAGTTACCAAAAGACAAATACGTATGATCCCACTTATGTGGGTACCTAATGAAGTCAAACTCATCAAAACAGAAAGTGAAATAGTGGTTGCCAGGGGGTGGTGAGAGAAAAGTGAGGAGCTGTTGTTGAAGGTGTAGAGTTTCAGTTTTGCGAGGTGAAAGGTTCTGGAGACCTGCTGCACGGTAAGTGAATATACTTGCTGCTATACCGTGTACTTAAAAATGATAGAGTATATTTTATGCTGTGTGTACTTTACCACAATTTAGAAAAATTTTAAGTTTATTTACTTTTTCAGTAATCTCTATACCAAATATGGGGCTTGAACTCAGGACCCCGAGATCAAGAGTCACATGCTCTTACAACTGAGCCAGCCAGGCATCCCTTTACCTCAATGTTTTAAGAAGGCAAAAAGCAAATCTGTACCGTCAGGTGTAAAGTGGCTTAACTTGAATGTTTTTCAAAAACTGTGCCACAGATGCCTCACAAAAATACTTCAGAGAATCAGTTTTGCAACTGAGATCAGAAATATCCTGGGCATGTTTGCAAATCATGCTCAATCTAAAACAGAGGTGAAGACAAAAGTAGAAAACAGCCCTCCTGGCAATGCCTGTTGTTTATATTTTCCCTTCTATTTTTGGAAGGAAGACACAGCAACACTCTTTAAAAGCAAGATCATCCATTTCAACTGTTTCAGAGGCTTTTATTCTTCAAATAATAACTAAACTTTCTCTCTAAGCCTCAATTTATTCCTGAAAATAATAATGGGTAAAAGAAATGACTATATGTTCTGAACACAGGAGTATTTTATAGTACCCAGAAATGATACAGATCTTTTGGGAAGAGACTATACATGAAGAAAGCTAAGTTATGATCAACACAGTTTCTCTAAATAATGTGTTCTGCTAATATAAAGCAATTGGCACTCTATCAACAAGGCTCTAAGTCTAGGTGGTAAAAGAAAAAAAGAAAGGGGTGAATCTGCAGGTGGCTTAACCTTTCTGAGCATTGCAAGAAAAGCCATACATAAGAGACAAACCTGCTCTGAAATTCCAAAGTACCTCCTAACTGTGCATGGCAAAGTGCAGATCCATCCCTACCATGAACCCAGGGCTCTGGACTCAAGTTTTGGCTTTCCCACTAACTAGTTAAATTACTTCATTCTTCAAGCTCTGTAAAATGATAGACATGGACCAGATTGGTGCTTAAGTTTTAATGGAATACAAATCACCTGGGGATCTGGTTAAAATGCAGACTGATTCTGTAGGTCTAGAGCGGGTGCAGGTGAAGCAGCTGGCTCCTAGACACACTCTGAGAAGCAGGGATGAGATGCTCTCTGAGGTCACCTCGCTCTGATGCTGCATCTGTGTCTCTGATGACATTAACCACTTTCTACCTTGTACTATACTTAAGAAGCTCCCTAATTCAACTTCAAGCTCCACAGTAACAGAATAAATTGTTTCTTGAACACCAAAGAAAAAGTTCTTAAGTGGTGAGAACAGTATCTCCTACTCGTCTTGAATTCACTAAAACCTCCCCATGTAAAGTCCAATCTCTGATCACTCTGCCAATTCAGGAGTTACAGCTCATTTAAAAACACACCTGGGGCACCTGGGTGGCTCAGTCATTAAGCGTCTGCCTTCAGCTCAGGTCATGGTCCCAGGGTCCTGGGATTGAGCCCCGCATCAGGCTCCCTGCTCAGCGGGGAGCCTGCTTCTCCCTCCACTTCCCCCTGCTTGTGCTCCCTCTCTCGCTGTGTTTCTCTCTGTCAAATAAATAAATAAAATCTTTAAATAAATAAATAAATAAAATAAAAACACACACCTACTCTAGGTCATCTGGCATCATAGCAATCAAATTCCCTATTAAAAAAAAAAAAAAAAACGGGCGCCTGGGTGGCTCAGTCGTTAAGCGTCTGCCTTCGGCTCAGGTCATGATCCCAGGGTCCT